CACTGCATTAAAACCACTCCTTTAAAAAAAATGTTTTTTACTCAAGCAAATGAAGCAAATTACTATCCACACGTGGTTGCAATTTCAGGCTAATAAAGACTAATAAAAATGTGCCGAACGTCTTTTTTTAGAAATATAATATAATATAATATAATATAATATAATATAATATAATATAATATAATATAATATAATTTGGGGGAAAAAATTGTCAATTTCTCATGAAGTTACGCATACGTGACCTTCTGTTACACAAACGCGCTTCGTGATTGGCTGAACGACTTCCGGCTTCCTGTTGTTCATTCCCACACGTGAAGGTCAGCAAAAAACAGCCTTCTCGCGTTTATAATTAGAATAAATATCGGAACTTCGACGTTTTATAGCAGATATGGACGGCCAAGGAGCTTCAGCGGACCCTCAGCTTCAACATTTCATCGAAATCGAGTCTCAGAAACAGAGATTTCAGCAGCTGGTGCATCAAATGACTGAGGTTTGCTGGGTAAGAGACGAGCACAGTCCAGCATGTTGATTTTCTATCAATTTCTTTACGACAGGGACTTGTGCAGTTGGAGCAGCTATAGACAGATTACATGTTGTGCTTGTTGTAAACATCCAATAATTTCCTAAAGTAAATGCTGCTTCCTAATAAACTGATGGCTGAACATATTGTTCATTATAGACATACGGGAAACTTAGACGCCGCTTCTCAGCTTAGTTTTATCTTCACATATTTACTTTCCGTCTGCGCTGAATGGACCTTAATTAAAGAGAATGGTTATATTTATCTTCCCACTGTAAAATAAAAATAGGCTAATAACTTGGCTGAGTAAGAACAAGAAAAACAGCGTAAATACAAAACTCTTGAATTTAATTTTTTATTTGTTGCTGGGTACCTTTTTAGCATAATATAAAACGTTTTGCATACAAATCACAAAATGGGGTTTTCTTGGCACATGCTGCAGGTACAATAAAAGGAGTATAAAACACCGCTGGACCTAAAAGCTTGTTTCAAACGTCACATTACGTCACTCACAACCAATGCCACGTGCTGTTTCAACAGTTAAGCTTCAATTCAACTCAGAAATACTTAATAATACCAAAGGGAAATTAAATGTTGAAACTCATATCATCCAAGGTTCCTTAAAGCGTTTTAGAGACTGATGTCTGTGGTTAGAAAGGATCTCCTGTAGCAAGCTGTGTTACAGCGTATCTAAAGAAGCTTCTGACTGATGACACTGTGCTGTTGTTGCCCAAAATTTTCTTGATTTTATAAATAATCGATCTTTGAGACACTTTTATAAGATACAATTTAGTATCTTATGTTTATGAGGCTTTTAATGGAGTTTCTGCATTTTGTTGTTGTGTGAAAACTGTTGATGCAGCCAGCCAGGTCTATGTTACATGAGACTTGTTTGGTTTGTAATTTTGTGTATAAAATTATTTAAGCAATATTTAGAAAAATACTAATACCATAGAAATCTTAATACTAACTTACAAATGCATAAGAGACAGTTTTTTTTATTGATCGTTTTGCTGCACATTTTCACCCTCTAATTGATTTATTTTATTATTGCCATTCAGTATTGTTACCTCCTACATAATAGCCACATTATTCAGATATTACCCAGATTTATCACGGTGGTCTGAAGGGTAAAACACCACTAATAATATCTACCCAAACTTTAAAAAACAACAAAAACACTTAATTTATGCTCTTTTAACAATCTATCTCACTGATGAGGACCACAAACTCATCTAAAACCTTGTACGTTGTACTCGGGATTATCAGAGGATAAGGAAAGTGAACAGCATTATTGGCTTTCCTTTAAGCATCTTAAGCTGGGACTTCCACTGTCCTGACAAGTTTTTACACCAACAGACTGGTGTTTGTTTTACAATTTAAAAACCGGGGATCAACTGAACCTGCTGCGAGATTAGAGACTACAGGATTTATCAACTAAAGCCAATTTAGCGCATCAAGCTCTCATGGAAACTTGTGAGGGCGACAGCATTCTTAGTATCCAGACAGGCTATATTTCTGTTCCACTTTTAGCAGTGACTTTTAATGTTGTTCTTAATCTACAAATATTCCTGTCTTGACAGATGTTTGAATGAGACTACAAATAAACATTGAATTTTTGATAAATTTTTTCTGTGGAAAATATTCTATTCAGAACTCGCAATTCTTTAAATTAGGTCAGATTTTTATTTTTATTGAATAAATTCATGAATTTCTTGGTTTATTTCAAAAAGGCCTTTCATTTTTTTTTACTGTATTTCAGTGTTAAATATCCTAGTGTCTCTTTGTTTTTTTTATTACTGTGTGTTTGTTATTCAGTGATAGCATTATACTCAGTGCATTTGTGCTCATGAAGTTGTGTAGTTTGTTTTTACTTCTAAACTTGTTTGCGGTTATTTTACGTACTGGACTGCGTCCACATCCGCCTCAAAACATTCAATGAATGAGGTCGAGTCGGTTTCCCTCACAAACTACAGACTCTAGTCTTCACACTAACTGAATTTAGTGCAGACTGGCCACAACAAGTTTACTTCTCACTGAGATGTGTTGTAATTACACCTGTAGGCCTCTGGGTGGCAGTGTAAAAAAATAAGTTTCATCTGGACCATTTTTTGTTTTTCTGTTTCTGTTCTTTTAAAATATTGAGCTAAATTGTCCTCCAGAAATATTTTTTTATTCACACTAAAATAGTTCTGTTGTTGTAATAGAATCAAATATCTGTGAAGAACAAATATTTTTATTGCATTCTTTTTTCTGTGTACAAGTATTAATATTTGAGTTTTAGTTTATTTTTAGTAATCATCTGGATCTGAAATGTAATTTAACATGCATTGTTGCAATTTTGTAGTAGTGCATATGTTCATATAAAACTGATCAAATCTTTTGCAGTTTATCAAACTAATGTAGGTGCAAAAGCTTTTGAATATGTGACAATTTATTGCTCATTAGACTGTTTTGTGCTTGTACTTAAATTATAAAAAAAAAAAAATCTATTCATAAACATGACTCTGACACCACAAGTGGCTCTTTAGACTATCAGTATCAGTAATGTTTTTTTGGACTGTTTTTCTTACCAAGTTGGAACCTTTGTGCTTTTTCTAAATATGTATCCTTCCACTTTTTGTGAATGTTTCATTTTTTTTCTCTCTTTCAGAAATAGAATAGAAGTAAAATAACATTCTGTACAAATGACAACACATTAGATACTTATCAAAGATTACAAGCTATTTTTTCATGGAAGGTCTTGTAACATTTGCAGCTACAAAAGTTTATTTTTGCTAAACTGAAGGCTTTACAGGGGAGATCCCTGGCTTAACCAGTGTGTGCATGCATCCTGTCTCTTTAATCTAAAGTAGGCTTTCCTGCAGAAGAATATAGTAGAGTGAAGGATTTTCCTCTGTTTGACGTGGATCGGTCTCGAAAATGTTTCTTCTAATAGTTTATGTCTGTGTCTTTAGGAGAAATGCATGGATAAACCGGGACCCAAGCTGGATTCCAGGTCTGAAATCTGTTTCGTTAACTGTGTGGAGCGATTTATAGACACAAGCCAGTTCATCCTGAACAGACTGGAACAGACTCAGAAGAGCAAGGGAGGATTCTCTGAGACAATGTTGGACTAAAAACTGTAACTGGAAGTTTGATAGAAAAAAAAAAAGTTAAAAAAAAAATAAAAAGGACCCATTTTCTGCACTGACTGGGAACCCTGTTTGGTCCCGACTCAGCTGTCTGTACAGTAAGCTGAAGAAGAGTCCAGTCAGCTGGGAAACAGAACCACAACAAGTGTTACCTTGGAAACAAGTGCCTGACATCTAAACCATGTACAGACCTGGGTAAAAGTTTAGGGTTGTGTTTTGTGACTACAGGAAGACGAGCGTTGCAAAATATTGAGATGGTGGTTTGTTGCTGACTCTGTCAGCTTTTTGAATTCATGTAAGTGGAAAGTTCAGACTGTGAAGTTTGATTATGAGGAGATGTTTTTCAGATACATGGACCAAAAATCAATGTCGGTAAAATCACCCTGCAACCTCTTGACTGAAGATCAGTGTTCAACAGACTGGACTGTAAATATGCAATAAACAAAATGCCAAATAAGTGTGTGCATCCTTTTTAAAATGCTTGTGCATTTGCACAAGCATTTGTAGCTGCACACTCTTTCTAAATTCCCTGACTTTTGTGATGTAGAAAGAGATCATTTCAAAGCTAATCTCCGTCTGGTAAAGCCATGTTTTTGTTGATTTGTCTTTAGGCGATTTAAAAAAAAAATGCTAAAAGATGAAGTTCCTCTTCCATCTTCCACTTTTTACTGAAGCCTGAAGGTTTTGTGTCAACACCAGATATTTGAAACTCTACTTATTTTCTGCTAGTTCCACTCCCAAAGAATGATGCTGCCACCACCATGCTTCACTGTGGGTTTTGGTAATGTGCAACAAACCCATTTGTTGGACCAACTTTAGTATCTTACTATAACATATTTTCTCACTTGCTTTTTTTGGGAATTTTGAGTATTTTGTAAAAGTGTGCGAGATGTCTTTTTGGTTTGATATTTATCTTTATTCAAAAAGGGTTTTGTCTTACCACCCAATCACATGGAAAACAGTGATTACCAGAAATTTCTACAACCTGTTAAATGTTGCTTCTGACCAGTTTTCTTCTTGATGTCATTGTTTTACATAATTAATGAAATGTGAGAGAGAGTTGTGAAATAATTTATTTTTTTTTTACATCAAAAAACTTCTTACATCCACAGTAAGCTCTTTGTTTTAATGAGACGTTACATTAAAATTAAATATACACCTTGGCACATATTACAGTCTTTGGTTTAGATTTTGAACATAATGCTGAGGTAATACTGTAGCTCACTAATAGTTTTAAGGGCAAACATTTGCTCCACTAAGTCTTAATTTTCTAATTACAGTAAAAAGTGCTAAACTATGTACCGTGAATAAAACAAGTATTGAACACATCACAATAACTTGTTTTGGTTTCTATGTATGGATTACTTGGGTTGCTACCAAAAAATGGTGAAAATTACATGTCAATAGCATCTTCAGAAATATGCTTACTATGAAAAATTGTGATGTGTTCAATGTTTTACCTTCTGTATGTTGAAGCTTTCATTAGCAAAACAAACACTTAAAATAAAAACAGAAATATCAAAGACAGCAGTGAACAAAAATAAATTATGGTAAGAATATTTTGTCCCAAAGTAAATGTGTGTAATGAGATCCATTACGGAGATGGCAATGCTAAGGTAAAAAAAGCAAATGTCCTCATCCAGTGGCTGCTTTGCTTGAAAAAAAATTGTAAAAGTTTGAGAGGTAAGGATGAGTTTACTGGTGCTTATTTTTTTTTTTATTCATGAGGCTCTGTTCTAGTCACCACCTCTGGCTGACAACTTTCTGTCATTATCTGCTTGCAAGTCATCATCAGGAAGAGCCATGTAAGGCTGCTGGCCTCCAACGAACCAATAAGGGCTTTTCCTCAGGTACAAAGGGAGGGAGTCCACACTAAACGTAATGTCCTTAAAGGCATGAAGGAGAAAAATCCCTAAAATGATGGTGAGGAAGCCGCTGATTGTCCCCACTATACCATCAACGGTCATTTTTAACCACTCCTTGAATAAGATGGCTGAGCAAGCCATGACGGACGTGGTGAAGAAGACGTAGTAAATCGGCGTGACAATGGAGGTGTTGTAGATGTCGAGCGCTTTGTTCAGGTAGCTGATCTGAATGGTGACGCAGATCGCCAGGCAGACGAGCAAGGCCCAGAACAGGGGGTTCTTCAGCACCGCCGTCCCTGAAAACAGCTCTTTGATGCCGATGCCCAGACCCTTGACACAAGAGACGGAGAGGGAGCCAATCACAGAGCAGATCAGGATGTAGACCAGGACGTTCTTCTGTCCGAAGCGAGGAGCCACGGCAAAGATCAGGACCAGGCTACTTCCAACAACGCACACGGCAAACACGATGAAACCTGGTGGGAATGTTTCAGAGGGAACGTTAGAAAAAAGATACAGAGACAAAGATCCTCTCATGGCTAATGTCTGCTTGTCAAGCAGATCCAAAATGAGGTACTTGGGTAATCTGATCACAGATCAAAAAGCATACATTTTTAGGTAAGCCTGTCGCAATAAGTATTAAATCAATCACATGATAAATTAAAACGAGCTTGATCATTTCTATTTACAAGATTGTATTTCTTGTGGGGGTTTTTTCTACCTCACTGAATGATAAAAGTCTTCAGTCTGGTGCTTCGGTCTCTTTTGTTGCAATTTTGTTTACAGAGATTTCAGTGTCCATTTTATTTGTTATTATTTTTGCGTATTTAAAATGTCTTCCACTTACAATGTTAAATGGTCGTTACAAATTAAAGTTTATTCGTCTTTGAGAGGATGTGCTTGCATTGCTATGCCATTACTATTATATTACTTGAAAATTGTTTCAAAACAATAATATCATTTATGGCAATAATCTCTGGGACAATTTATTAAAATTTGTTATCGTGACATTTAGCTATTGAGTATGGAAAGTAGCATATTTAGGCCCAACTTGAAGTAACTGGTCCCTAGTTGGCATCAAAGTGCAAATCACAAGCTTTGTGTAATATAAGCATCAAGAGGTATTTGTGGTAAATGTACAACACCTTAGCTGTGTGGTGATTTGTGGCCAATTTGCAAAAAAGTCTACAAGTTGTTACAAAATTCCACAGTCACAGATAAAGACATGAGGCTACCTGGGTCCTTCAGTTTCTCAGCCATGGCGCTGAGCGAGGCAACTTCCTCTTCTTGCGGCGCATGGATCACCATGACCGTGGAGCCCAAGATGGAAAGCAGGCAACCAATCTTCCCGTGAATATTCAGCCGCTCATTTAGAAAGTACGACGAGAGCACAGCACTGGGAAAGTTATGGTGTTGTTAGTGAAACTTTTGCACAAATATTTCAAAGCATTTTTTATGAAATACAAAATAAAATGAACAAATATTCTATTAGTTTTTCTCAGGTTTAGGTAAAGGTCAGGAGGTAAATTTTTAATCATCTGCTCATATTCCTTTTACAGATGTATGGAGGGCTGATCCTGCAAAAACTGTCAATAAATAAGTGGAAAACTAAACTGTAAAACAAAGAGAGAAAATAAATATTTATTTTCATGAGGATAAATATATGATTTAATAAAAATGTAAAATAAATAAATATATTTGCAAATAATTGCAATTATTAATTTCTGCATTTTTTTATTTTCTGTTTGGTTTCCTCATTTATTTATTTACAAATTTATAGATATTTCCAATTTTGGCAGGATCAGTTCTCCATATGGAAATAGTTAGACCATTTGAACTGAAACACACACAAAAAAAGTTGCAGATAACTATAAAATGGAAGCGCATGATTTATGGTTTTCAAACTGCTCTACAAATACAAATCTGAAAAGTGTGGCAGGAATCTTTTTAAGCCCCCTTTACCTTGACAATTCTAAATAAAACCAACCAAAAACATAACCTAACTTTGAGTAATTTGAGAGATGGATACCTGACAAGTACGCTGAGCGCTCCGAGTGGAGTTACCAGTGTGGCAGGTGCAAACGCATATGCAGCGAAGTTGGCACCCTCTCCTACTCCCACTACAACACATCAGATACACCATTAGATTGTCAGCTTAAATTCTGAGAAATTACAATTCCTTCAACCCACATGTGTAAATGTGCTATTTAGGGGAATATGAATACCAGTAAGAAAAAAAAAACATAAAAACAAAACCACAACATTTCACAATGATGACATTGTTTCTGGTCGTAGCTGATTGGCAATACAACACATACACATAGTGGAGAAACATAGCTGTACCACAGTAAATCATCGTCTTACTTGAAATGAGCCCAGCCCACCACAGCCATTCTTTCAGATAAGCGTAGCCCCCCTGACCTGTAACATAAAAGCAGCAGTGTCATGGTACTGGTTGAAACATTCTTCATTTCAATAATAAAAAGTTTTAGTGGCAATTTATATAATGAAGTGAGAAGCAGTGGTGCACTAGAACACACCTAATCCACAGTGGGTGGATATTCTCACGCGTGTAATTTTGTCTTGTATAGAAAAATGTGAAAATGTATCAAAACAGTTTAAAATCTTAAATCAATACATGGTACCCTTAACTATTGTTGTCTACTAAATAAAATCCAAAATCTTGTATTTCGTTGGAAACTTTTGTTAATGAAATCCTCAGTAGGCACAATATTTATAACTGTTTAAACTGTACATGTATAGGAATGAACAAATAAAATTGGTATGTTAGCATTATTATATTATTAATACCCATTGGGCATTAAAAAAATTAACTAACATTTGGACCAAAAGCTCTTAATAAAACAAACATTTTTTTCTCCTTCTCTCAGAAATCAGACATTTTGTTGGAAATTCTGAATTATTTTTCTTCGAATTCATATCCCCTCCCTTTTTTCTTAGAATTATTAGACTTTAATGGGCCACATAAAACATAATTTAAATCCAACATGTTTCTCTAGAAGGTTTGTTCTCCTGGAGGAGCATTAAAGTCAGAAGTCTTCTTTTAACCAGTGGTCATAATCCTCTTCCGAGGTAAATTGTATCTCAGTTATAGTACATTTTAAGGATTTGTTTAATTATTTTAAGCACTTCGGCCTTTATCATGGACTGTCACTACCTGCTCGCGTTGAGCCCTTGCTGGCCAATCGCAGCAGGCCTTTCTTTTTCAAGATGAAACTTGACCCGATAAAAACACTGGAGCTCACAGCCAGAGAGAGACCGATGTAGAAGTCCAAACGGTTCACTTCCATCTGTAAAACCCCCCAAAATGCGAGTTACAACCGGATTAAAAAAAACAAACAAAAAAAAAAAACGAGTATGAAAGTCAAGCAGCAGATATCATGTGTGGATATCACATGATTAGATGACATCCCCCGACTAGTTTAACCAACTTTTATAACAAATTAAAGTCACTGTGCGATTTAAAAAAATAACCGTTTCTTACCACATTACATTGAAAACAGCATTGTCCAACCGAAGAAAGAAACTGTTAATAAAATGTTTTTACCTCGATTGTCGACTTGGCCTCATTTAGATGACAACAGGAAGTGGAGCACCCGATTGGTCGAGAAAGGTTGGGTGTCACCTCGCTACTTCCTGGTGTTTGCTTTGGAAACGAAAAGGCAAGTAACCTGTGTACGCAGCATTTCCAAGCTGGCGAAGCAAGCAGCGCACGCAATAAATAAAATTGGCACTGACTAAATTATTAAATAAATAAATAAATAATTTCAAGTACATTTATATATTTAGAGTTTAATGTAATCATTTATTAGCATATCCTCATAATTTTTATTATTAATTAAATTTATTTTTTATTTATTTTCAAATAATTTGAAAATAAAAAATAACATAATATTGGCAATATGAATATTATAACAAAAGCCTACTACGAGTTTCTAAACTTCAAGCTTAACTTCTAATTAACATTAAAAGGTTTAACAAAAATTTTAATTGTATAAAAATAAAATATAACTTTATACTAAACAACAGATATATCTTCTAAATATATTTTACAAAGTATTTTCTTTATTTTGCCAATAAAGTTATTGAAAAAAAATGTCAATAGGAATCCCGTAATCTGATTGGTGGTGCCGTCTTTTCAGCGTTCTGATTGGATGGCGGATTTTCGTCGATAGATACCGGAAGAAGCGCTAACCTTGAGCAGCAGGCTAAACACATGCACAGTACACTTATGCAAAGGTATTTTTAATGACTAAAGTCTATTTAACTGAAGCATTTCTCCACGACTCCCACATCTGTCACACCTGCCATGTAGGCTTCTTGTTCTTAGCCGCTTTCAGCTCTTCATTCCCTGGATTGAGTTTCCTCGTCTTGCTGGAGCCGTCTGAGATACAACGATGAAGTTTCCTTTTCATACAGTCGCCAGAGGCTGGAAGACTTTTCATAGATTTCAGCAAAAAGGAGTTTTATCAGAAGACCAGAGACTGTGGAGCTCAGCTTTGAAATGCAGTAGGAGCAGCAGTCAGTTGTGCAAAGAAAAGTGTTTCTACATAACAACCCCGATCTTCTATGTAAATGCTGCTCCTCATCTGGGCCACCTTTACTCAGCCATGATTGCTGACTGCCTACACAGGTGGAAACTCCTGCAGGGATTTGAGTCAAGATTTGCCACAGGTAAACCCTACATCCTCAAAAAGTCAAAGTATTTGACTCAGATTGAATGCGATAAACCAGCACAAAGTAGTGCAAAGTTGGGGATTGAAAAAAACATGACACACGACACAAGTTTCAAACTTACTTATAAAAATCTGAAAAATGCTGTATAAAAGCTTTTCGTAGAATCAGCTTCTACTGTAATTACATCTGCAGCTTTTCATAGAACATATCTGCTTTGGAGCATCCAAAGTGTTATCATTAGTCTCCCGACTGATTTTCATTATTTTTATGAAAAAGTTAAAAGCCCTATTTGACACATAAGACAAATCGTACGAGTTTCTTTATATAGAGGACTGATCCTGCCAAAATTGAAAATTAAATATAAAATAAGGAAATAAAATATTGGATAAATTAGAGGAAATATAACTAAATAAATGAGGAAATTAAATAGAAAATAAATGAGAAAAATTCTGAAGATGTATGTGAGGAAGTTTAAAATAAATACAGAAAAGTCTAAATATGAGGAAATAAAATTTTAAATTAACATATTTGCAAATGTTATTTATTTACACATTTTATTTTCAATCTGATTCCCTGTATTTGCTGTTTTATTTCTTCATAGTCAGTATTAGCTCTCCATATTTTGTTACACTGCAGATTTAATGATTAATATAATAAAACCAATGTATATTTTTAAATCACAGGAACAGATGAGCATGGCCTGAAAATCCAACAAGCGGCTGAAGCTGCAGGGAAAGATCCTCTGACTTTCTGTACTGAAGTGTCCCAGCGTTTTGAAACTCTCTTCAGCAACTGCAGCGTGTCCTTCACCGACTACATCAGAACCACAGAGCAGAGACACCGTCGGGCCGTGGAGCATTTCTGGTCAGTGCTCTGGAACAAAGGGCTTATCTACAAAGGAAGCTATGAGGGCTGGTACTCCACACAAGATGAAAGCTTCCTCATGCCATCGCAGGTCAGCGATGCTCTGGACCCATCGGGGAAGGAGGTCAAAGTGTCACTCGAGAGTGGACATAAGGTAAATGGAAATGTGAATGTGGGGGGCTCGTGCTGCCAACATTAACAAATAAATAAATGTGAAAATAAAATTGTAAATTATATTAAAAGAAATTAAATTGAAAATAAATTTGGGAATATGTTGGAATTACCTATTTACACTTTTTGTTCAACTTTATTTATTTACAGTTTTACTTATTAATTTCCTCAATTATTTATCAATTTTTTTATTAATTTATTTCCTCATTTATTCATTGCCAATTTTGACAAGATCAGTTTTCTATACTAGTACTCCATTACTGAGGTTTTATAAATTACATCACTGCTTTCCAGGTGGAGTGGATGAAAGAGGAGAACTATATGTTCCGTCTATCCTCGTTTCGATCTCTCCTCCTCGACTGGCTGGTGAAAAATCCCAGTGCCGTCCAGCCGGAGCGCTTCCATCAGGCCGTTCTGCAGTGGCTGCAGGAAGACCTTCCCGACCTCTCCGTGTCCCGCCAGAGGAGCCGTCTTCAGTGGGGCATACCGGTCCCAGGAGATCCCGAACAAACCATCTACGTATGGCTGGACGCTCTGGTGAATTACCTCACGGTTGTCGGTTACCCCGAGAAACACGAGCGGTGGTGGCACGTTGCCCACCACGTTATAGGAAAGGACATCCTGAAGTTCCACGCCATCTACTGGCCTGCTTTCCTTCTGGGAGCGGGGCTGCCTCTGCCGCAGGTCATCCACGTTCACTCGCACTGGACTGTGGGAGGGAAGAAGATGTCGAAAAGTTTGGGTAACGTTGTGGATCCTTTTGAGCACTCTCAGATGTTTACAAATGACGGCATGAGGTACTTCCTGTTGCGTCAGGGCGTGCCAGACACAGACTGCGACTACACTCACGACAAAGTGCTAAAACTTCTCAATGCGGAGCTCGCAGACTCTTTAGGTGGTCTGCTGAACCGCTGCACAGCTCCAGCCCTCAACCCAGCTCAGGTCTATCCTGCTTTCTGCAGTCATTCCTTCCCCAGAGACCGGCGTGGCAGAGCGGTGGAGGAAGATTATCACATGGTGGAAACTGTAAGAAGTCTGTCCACTGTGGTAGAGAAGCACTACGAGAGCATGCAGGTGTATAAAGCTTTGGAAGCCATCAGCGCATGTGTGAGACAGACTAACGGTTTTATTCAGCGTCACACACCTTGGAAACTGGACAGGAGGGACAGCAAAGATGGCCGCTGGTTAGACACAATCATCCACTTGACTCTCGAATGCTTGAGGGTTTATGGGACTCTCCTCCAGCCGGTGGTGCCGGAGATTTCCGACAGGCTGCTAACTAGACTCGGTGTGCAGTCACAAGAGAGAAGCTGGAAAGATCTGGATTTTTTGGGGAGATATTTTGGAACGGACTGTTCGTTTGAAGGGAGGCCATTGGGGTCAAACTGTGGGTTGCTTTTTAGCAGACTGGAAACTCAGAGTGGAGATAAACAAAAAACAATGAAAAGTAAAAAACCTGCACAGTAGAGGTGACTGATTTCATGCAGTATTTTCATTTTAGCTGATATCAAATAACCTTGGAACACAAAAATATATGTTCAAGCTGTCTGTTACAATAAAATATCCTGACTTAAACTACAACATTGTCGGAACCTTTTTCTGCTTTACATGTTAAACTATTTATGGCAATATAAAAGGTATAGTAAAAGGTGAATCTCAAAATTAGTGACAGCAAAAAAGTATATAAAATACAGAGTGAAATGTATCTCAAGAGCTTATTAGTGTGAATGCTGAGAGCATTCACCCTCTTGAGTTCCTCCACTATTTTCCATACACTTTATACCACTTAACTACTTCTACATATTCTGTTATTTCAACTATTCAACTTTGAAAATATTCTGTTCATTCAGGACATTACAGCCATGTCTTTTGCTATTGATATCTTCTGCTGTTTATAAAATGTTCAGCTTTCTGTGATCATCTTGGGCCCCATTGAAATTAATGGAACATCCTAATAAAACCAACTTTTTCACAGCTAAATACTTTACACACATACTTTCATCTACAAACACCATTCAGACTTTAAATTGTATACTTCAACTACACTTGTTTATTTAAATGTCTTATTTTACAGATTTCATAAAATTCCTCTTCAAGTTTTGGTTGCGTTATTCGTCTTCAGAAAAAAAGTGTTGGGGTTGGGGATCTAACCCTTCTAACCCTAAATGCAACCATAATTCAAACCTTAATGAGGGTTTTCAGCAATTTTCATCAAAAACATTCTGCTTATTCACACTGCATTTTCTTCAGAAAACTAATTGATAGTTTACAACAAATGAAAATCTGAATACAACATTCCTAAAACAGAAATAGCCTAACGTCCATGCATTGTACAGTACAAGCATTTGTTTTACAATGATAAGGTTTTTTTTTTTTGTCTATCCCACTTTTTCCTTCTACTAAACTTCCTATTAGTGGAAGCCATCTTGGAAACAGCACTCAAAAGAATGCAGCTCATTCTGTCTGGGGGACAGTTCTTTTCTCCAATGACTGTCCGCTGGACTCCAAGTCTTATATTGGTGCATAGGTCATAAAATTAACATTTTCAGAAACAATTTTGGGTTTTTCAATGATAAATCATCTAAATTAACACTTAAATGTGTCTTGCTGTGTGTAGTGAATTTTTACAAGCTTATTGAATTACTGTAATAAATAAGCTTTTTAACTCTATTTTTATTTCTGTAGATAAAATGCCTAAATTCTGTTTATGTATTTCAGGATTTTTATAAGATTTTAAAATGGTAAGAAGGTCTCCTACTTTAATAATAATAATGTTTGTCATTGTGCATCCTCTAGGACTGATCTCCTCCCCCCGAAAAAAGATGCTCTTTGACAGCCAACACAAGTACAAGACATAAAAACTGACATGATTTTTTAATGAGAAATACACAAAACTGGAAATGAAAATTGTACAAATTGAAATAAAATAAAAAAAAGCATTATTATTTTAATTGTTTTTTTTTTTTGTTTTTTTTTTTACACATAGGCTCCTTAGTCATTAAACATGTTATATCAGGTTCCCTCTTTTGAAAATTCATAATTTTACAACTGAAATCTTGCAGCCGGGGGTTTGGTTCATCATGATCATTTAATGGTCCTTCCCAGTCTTCACTTCCTGATTCTATCAATTGACTAACTTACAGAACAGGTCTTTGTTCAAACAACAAGAATTTACCCCCCCCTCCACCCCAAAAGACTATAGACGAGCATGATCAATAGTAGGAACTGGTGCTTTGTCCTGGCTGTGTATCTGAAACGAGAGAAAAACATTAGCCAAATGTTTGAAGTTCAGGAACTATGGAGGAGGATTAGGGTCACTGAGATTTTTTTTTTTTCCTACCGTTGCTGAAATGACGAGAAAAAAAAACAGATGTAATTGTGATACAAGTTATTTTTCTGGTTGAGACGCTGCATGTTTGGCCAATTATTCCCTCTGGTTTTGAAGGCTGTACAGCTGGAAGAATTTCTGCTCCTACTTTTTTTTTTTTTATTAACTTCTGAACTCTTAAGACTCGTAACCATAGAAACAAGGTATTGTTTTTGCAACTGGGTGCGTCCGATTAGCATCTCAAAAGCTCAAATGCTTTAAACTATGACCACAAATAGTTAAAAAGGAATGAAAAAGTGGAAAAAAGCATCAACAATGAAGTCAAAAAGACTATTTTAAAATGATTTTGGGATGAAAACATGCTTTGGCGTATATTTTATTCTCAAAATTTAAACTGAATTTTGACTTCTAACTTTATTCTGTGA